GTTTTATGCCCAAATTTACCACCCCCCGCCTGAAATGCGTAGCTACCTCCCCCCCCCCTCCGCCCCAAATCATCGGTGAACGAAACTGCGGCAGCTACAACCACTGTACGACGAGTAAGTGGTTATTACAGCTGACAATGATGGTGATGATGATGATGATGATGATGATGATCTGGCAAATATCGAAGACTACGGAACAATTACTTGTGACCGGAAAATAGGATGGACCCCACTTATCTGGAAGAACGAAGTGGTGAGCAATTAGTTACCCCTTCTTTTGCCATCCTTTGCTGTCTAGTAAATTGACAAAAATATTCCACACCCGCAGTGCTGGCTATTGAAAAAGATTCCTGGTGGAACGGTTCTTTACTCATTCTACACTTAGTCACTTCTGGAGAGACCACTGTCGATTCGGTTTCTGTACACCTGTTCTTTAGAATTTCGGTATGAGCGGTCCAGTTTGGCGAGGCTTCCCACTGGAGGCGATCACATTACGCGCCATCGAATCTGTCAAGTTCGTTTGCCGAATGAAATGAAGTTCAGCTGGCGGAGGTGAAAACCACGCTGAAAAGATGATCTTATCATGGGAGGCCGACCAAATTTGGCTCAGTCTTTCACACCATTAGTTGATCATTTTAGCCACCTAAATGTGGATGTTGTGGAGCACCGTCTCCTTAATGCCTTCCTATTGCCGTGAAACCGGTCTGGATAGCTAACTGATAGCCTAGTGCGCTTGCCCAAACCAGAAAAATCAATGAACGTGCGAGCCAGCTGATCTATTGATCACTGTCGCGTACAAGCGGGTCAAAAAAAGTGATACTAAGAATGCAACTCATCTGTCAAGGACGAGTGAAGAACAACCAATGAAATCTGTCTCAACGAAAACGGTTATTCCATTGGCTGTTATATAGTCCCGTTACGTTCGGAGCTGGTTCTCCTAATACTCACTCAAACCCTGAAGCTAGTCTTTGCGACGCATATTCGTTTGCAGAACACCAAAGATGACACCTTGATCTACCGGAATCTTGCACCGCCACTTCAGATTAAGCAGAGAAGGATTCTACTATCTTAAGTGAGGCGTTAAAGTGCGACGAACTCAGAAAGATACTCAGTCCCTGGGGTGTAAAAAGATGCCTGGTATGTCATCTAAGAGGAAGGTCGTAAGGTTTTGAAAACTCTTTGAGTGTCTGCTATTGGTTTCGTCCTTTTTGGCGCTAATTAAACAGGCACAGTCTTGAAAGGTCTCCAACAACAGTCACTAAACCGCTTAGTAAAACCGATAGCTTTCGCGTGAAAGCCCACTAGGTACTGGTCTAGAGTGGGACATAAGGGTAACCATCTCGAGGACTGCACTTACCTAGTGAGCCTCAAGAAAGCTGTGGGCTGTCGAGAAGTCTTCAGAAACTTTGTGAACAGTGTGCTCCGTGTTGACAATTTACTACTATCTATCAAATACAGTACCCAACAAAACATGGAGCAGGTTGTTTTTGTACAGCAAATTCAGCTTAAGAATATCCTGAGTAACACTAAGGATGAATTCGATAAAGCTCTTCGTCAGGTCTAAACTAATTTGTCACATCGATTGTAACTGTGGGTGTGGATGGAGCAAAGAAACAGGTAGGTATCGACAAATAGGGAAGACTCGCCTGGAAGCCAAATGAATCTCTCGTTTGTGATGTTCTTAAGCAATTGAGTATGCTTTAACAGCCTCATGGTTCAGTTGGTACGATATTCGATATATCGCGCTGCATGTATAGACGTAATACACTACTCATAAGGTTGGGTTGAAGGAAACTTGGGGACTGCGCCTACCTGATTAGCCTCAAGAAGGGCAAAAACAGTAGTGCGCTGTCGAAAAGTTTTCAGCAACCTTATGGGTAGGGTATCACGTCTAAACATCTAGGTACATCTGTACCCGATGGCTACCCACTGAACGGTTCCTTGAGGAGCTTACGAAATGGAGCAAATCCTTCAGGTGCTAGGTGCTGCGTCCATTTTCTGTTTGCTTTATTTTATTTAGTACGTCTCTCGATTAGATGTTTTACGTACGTCATCCTCGCCCCGCATTTGTCATTATAAATTCCAGCATAAAGTGTGTAGTCGCTCTGCTTCCAATTAAGACATACTTTATCTTTTACTCGCCTATTGTATAGAGCCTGACTAGCTGAACATTTTCTTTGCTGGTGAGTGAACAATCACTGTTCTTTACTACACATTACTGCTAAAACTTTAGAAGTGCTTGTTCGAGTTACTATGTATGTATTTAAGTACCATATGTATACATGTACTTAGCACAACGAATGAGAAACGTTAGCTCTCTTCTACATTTGTGAGGATGCCGGTGTCATCTACAGGATCCCAAATGGTCATCACCATCAAAATTCCCCCAAGAGTTATCTTACAGGAACATGTGTCGAAATATCATCTTCAAAGTCGACGAAACGGTAAATAGTCCTGTTCATCTTTCAGGGGATGACGGAAGGAATTAGGGGGAAGGGTCTTCTTACTTTGCGGAGCCAGCGTAGGGTTGAACCTTATGAGTTCTACTTAGAAACTTCAAGATCTTACAGTTCAAAGGTTGTATGAAGTTTTCCCTACTCACGTACCTGTGTAATCGGTCGAGCAGACACACGTAACGGGGGTTGGTCAGTAGAGATCGGTCTTCCAGCTGAGCTTTGTTCCTTCGAAATTTACACCACCGAACGCCTTTTCTCCAGCTTTAAAACAACAAAAAGGAGAAGGGGGAGGGACTTAGAAGTTTCACGTTCCGAGGGTTCCAACATCTCGACAATGCGCGAATCTTTCCAGCAACACTTGCCTAGAGGAATATGATAATCTAGTCTTGAAGGCCTCAGTCTTGAGTTTTTGCTTTGTAACGAAGAAAGATCTTAGTACTGAAATGATCCAACCTGCTTAACGGGGCTGGACTCAGTTCCTTATAGTTTAGCAATACCGAGGAGACCAGCAGAGAAAGGTCTGACAAAAACAGTGGGCCTACCCTCACTGCTGTAAATCTCCAATGATCTGAAGGAAAGGACGTGCTTTTGAGAAATACACTCAGTTGCAAATCACTTTGGTTTTCACAAGAGACTCAACTGAATCTCTCGTTTATGAGTCTCTCGTGAAAAACTAATTGATTTGCAAATGAGTGTATTTCTCGAAAACAGTCCAATTTGGGTTCACGTAGATCATAAGGTTGACGGAAACTCGGGAACTGTGCCTACCAGATGAGCCCCAAGAAGGGCGAAACCGGTCGTGGGCTGTCGAGGAGTTTTCAGCAACCTTGTGAGTAGTTTCCTTCATGAAGGGACGTGCTATTCGCGGCTAAGGTAGTGTGATGCAACAAGATTTTTCCTCCAGACAGCGATGTTTTATGGATTGGTTGTACCAACTGCCTTCAATGAAGGACGAATCAGAAAAGGTCAATCCTGGAAGGTTCACACTTCAAAGAACTGCTGGCATATTATCCATTTCGGTCAAGGAACAAAAAAACTTTGCCATGAACCTGACGCAGCTAAAGGTGCATAGCAGCGTCAAGAATTTTATTCTTTGCTCTCTGAGCCATCGAGTCTGACCAGAATATGAAGTCCTGGACCCCAACAAAGTTTCCCCCAAAACAACCCTATTGATCATCGCCTCGTGATTCGGACTTTTAAGCTAAGGGTTACGAGAAATTCCCCCGAACGAAACCCTACATCCCCCCTCACTACATGATGGGTTAAATTCTCAACGTGGGGTACCAGTCCCACTGCTTTTACCCGGACACCTTTGCGGCTCTTCTCACAAACCCTCCATCTAAACCGGCCAGTTTACCCAGCATTTCATTTCTAAAACCCCACTACAGTTGAAATAGATCGAAATAACCCCATCACTCAAACGTGAACACGTTCGCCCGTTCAGATGTGAAAATTCAGACTCATCCAACGTGCGTTGGTGGAGTAGTGGTTACACGGTCGCTTCGCACTTCAAATGTTCGGGGTTCAAATCCAGGCGCGGCCGTTGGGTATGCCCTGCTGGTGAGCTCTAAAAAGAGCGAAGCTCACAGACAAGTGGTCCCCTGCCCTTGAACTGAATTCATCAGAATAGTTGCGCCAGGACAAGACGACTTTCGAACGAGAGTGATGCGGATATGAACAAGAAATCCCTAGGCGCCCCAGTAACAAGAATCTCGTTGTTCCAAGAGAAGTGTTGTAGTTCTAATGTCTCATTATAATGCGTCCGATTAGATGGTGGTCAGAAGGTCGCTATCGACCGATGTATGTAGTGCCTCCGAGGGAGGCATACGATGGCTCGGCTTGGTAAGGCACCTTAAAAGGCCAGGCTACTTGCCATTCACTTCTCCGGTGGCTGACGGTTCAGATGCGATTGCTTGAGGTATCTGAGACGCAAAAGTTGTAGTAACTGAGTGCGATTCAATGGACCAGGTTTAGTCCGCTTCGCTCATCTTCGCCAACTTACCCAGTTAAGATACATTAGTGGTGTTTGCCTGTTTTATCAGTATTCTGTCCAACTGGCAGCAGGAAGAGGCACCCTGTCTATGGTTTTCAGAAAAAACTAGCCCTCCCTCGCTCCCACTCCATGCGTTAAGCTGGTTAGGCTATGTACTTTGTATGCCAGAGGGCCACTTTCCTCGTTAGGTACTTTCGCCACCGTGCACTGGGTGGAAACGACTCAGCGTGTTCATCTGTCACTGGACAGCAAAACATGAAAGCCCTCGCTCCCTTTGGCAACCATCAACCTCCCCGAGGGGTACCCGGAATGAGGTGAACCAATGGTCAGTGAGCGTGACCAATGGGGCCGTATATATCATTCAACGACTGTTCTGCATCAGAGCTACTGCCTTGAGTGCGTAAGTTTCTCAATCCCTGATTTATCAGACAAACAGAACTGTGGTCTCCAGTACACGATTGTGACTGCATCGTTTTCCATACCTTCGGCGACCGGAACCACTTGTCAATGAAGCCAATCTATGCCGAAAAGTCGAGAGACATCGTACAGCCGTTTCATCCTCGGTGGGAGCCATCAGTAGTGCGCACTGCACCAAACTCCAGAGAGTCCTGAACTCACAGCACCCCGGCTACATGTATGAAATCTTGACCGTTTGGCCATGAGCGGCTGAATAGCAGTGTGAATAACTCGCACTTGGGCAAGATATAGCGCAGCTCATTCTTCGCCAGTTTCAAGCTCTCCGAAATTTCGTAAGATTTCCAATAAAGATGAGGTAGCTGTGTGGTGCTCCTCAGCACAGGTTGGCTTCACATACAGGATGAGGTGCTGATCGAAATTCCCAAATAACTACCAACAGCCAAATAAGTTCCTGACCACCAAACTTACAAACATCTGTATTCATATACCTGTGATACTCAACCGTCAACAAGTGCTTGCATACATTACCTACATCAAGACGGTTGTTTGTAAGCTGCCTCGCGTCGCCACCCCTCAGCGACTACTTCTAACCTCAGCCTGCCCTTTGTTGACATCGTGGAAGCGTTTCGCATGACACAATTTTCAGATCTGCTGAGCTATTTTGAGCACCGTTACTCTTGGTTCGCACACTTTTAGGAGAAAGCTGTAGCAGTTTACCCAGATTCAAAGGTCCATTGCCGTAGAGGTGTAAGGCAGGGAGATTATCGGTGTTGTTCCTTCGGGTGGCACGGCAGCTAGGCGCCGAAAGGGTACTACAGCTGAGCGCTTTTTCCTCGTAGCGGTGGTTTTGAAATTCTAGGATTGTTTATTCTACAACAAAACTGCCAGTTCCCTGACATCGTATAGGATGGTTTTGTCTTCACTGACGACAGAAAGCCATGCTCTTCTTAAAGATGAATTTGAAGCTGCTGCGGTCGAGTTGGGAAGAGCTGATATGACGACCAGCCCACGAAATGCGAAAGCTGTTGTACGTTAGGGAAACTAAAAACATCGGCTAACCGCGGCAGAAATCAATGCGGAGTTCGCAGTATCACGGTGCATGAAAGTACTGTCTCGTTTACAACCAAGCGGTTTTTTCTTCGTGATGTCGCGGCAACAAGTTAGGGCCTTTTTCTCACTCTATTCTAGAGAACCCTACAACATGAACGCGAGTAGTACAATGTGTCCACTTTCATTTGCTTTGTTCGGTTTAGTATTTTTTTGTAGGACTTTATCTGGCATGTGGATTATTACCGATTGCCCTTGTCTGGACCGTTTCCGGAAAGAAAAAGGGGAAATTGACCGCGTGGTTCCGAGTAAACGAGATGTTTTTGAGGCATGTTTGATATTCCCTAGTACGTTTACAGAAACCTAAAGGCTCGCTTTTGTCAGGGAGGTCAGATTCCTGGAAGCAACCGCTGAATGCCAGAAATCAACTGCACCAGATGCTAACCGGACGAGATAGCGCCCGCTCAATATGAAGCGTGCCACTGGCGGACAGCGCAAGACAGCGTGGGACCAAAATCACACAGTGTCCCTCCAATAAAACAGCTCGGAACAGTTGTACTTTCGCGTTCACGCTCACGCGCTCACTTGTTTGCAATAAAGCTGTTGTCTTCTCTATCGGCTGATCTTTTTCCGGCACTTGGCAGCAGAAGTGACTGGACATGACTCAGGTTACGAACATCCAACTCTGACGTTCTAAACGCATTATTTGGCACGCCGGGATTCTATCCTGTGAGTAGGGTTAATCTACGCTATAAAACCGAAAGGCATCTATTTTAAGGATGATGTATGATGTGTAGTTCCCAAACCTCTAGGAAGATGTGAACCCATCATCATGATCACCGTCATCATCATCATCATCATCATCATCATCATCATCCGAATCATCATCATCAATATCATCATCCTTGACAGCATGACATCAGTGTTCGAAACTAATGCTTTGCTGCCGTAAGATGGGAACACACAGCATTCTGAATACGATTTGAGCACTGCACTGTTCAATCACGGATTGCTGATCAACAGAGCATACACAAGGGGGCTACAGCGCCACCCGTCCTTCAATTCAGGTGAGCTGCTCCTGTCAGATGCCTTGTGTGATGCCTCATCAGTAAGAACGCTCATGTTACTCGTTATTCCCTTTCTGAACGGAGCGTGTATGGTTTCAGAAAAGTTCTCCAAATGACAGAGTACATGTACTTTTAAGATTTGAATGGCGTCTGGCAAAATCCACTTGGCCTAATCAGCTTACCGTGCAAATGCTGACCAGATCGATGCTCCTCTGAACACCCGTTGTTGTTGAAGCCTGTAACAAAGGATGGCTTCCCTGTACCAGTCGATCAACTGGATGTGCCTTTGTGATTCGTGGTCGCAACAAAGAACTCCGTGTGTGCCAAAAATATAGTAGGGTCGTCCAGGCTATAAATGGAAACAACAGGGTTCGAGTGCGTTTTGACACTTCGGAAAAATGAACTGACCTGTGACTCATGAATTCAATAGGTCTGAAGATAAAACCACATGCATCTGACGATATTTCTGACAACTGAATAGGGTATTGAGGCGAAAAAAAGAGAACCTTTAGCTGGTGATTTTTACGATTGAGGACAAAGCGTCGCAGCCCAGAATGCGCCCCACTAGCAAGTGGGGCAAGATTAGTTCACCTACGAGTTTTCCACTAGCGGATATGGACAATTAAGTCAGTGACAAATATTCCTCATTGATTCAGGCAGCTAGAAACATAATCAGGGCTTTACACGGGGCTATGAACATTTTTTTCTAAGGATCACCTTGAAACTTTATAAACTGTTTAGCTTTGAAGTAACACTTGTGTTGTGAAACTATAAAGTGAACAATCACCTGGAACCAAGCTGAACCTATTGTTTGTGAATCTACTTAAAAAAGTATACTTAAACACATCATAAACGAGAAATTCAGCTATGTTCCAGGTGAGTCACCCGTAAAACCAAATTGGTTTGCAAGAGGGAACTTGTTATACTTCTGACTACTTGTGAGTAGTCAGAAGCTAATATGAAACTGGAGCTGACAATTCAATACAGTTCGGTCTCCGCACATACTGGCATGGCTGTTGGCTGCTGAGGTTTTCGGACCAGTTAGTCGTGTTGTCGATAAGTTTACTCCTAATTAGGGAGGGATGGTAAGCACGATTATTCACTCTTAAAGAAGAGACCCCCCAGAAGGAAGCCACTCCCATGGAGAGACCAGAGTAACCACTTAGAGTGGGATCCCCTCTAAGGTAGAGTAATCTGTCCCTTCGTATAGGTTTTCGGTGTCTTACAACCGTTTCACCTCCCATGGTTTGGGCCGCACATGAGTGCTTTTATAATAGCTGGTGACGAAACGTTTGCGAATCAACTGCCAGGCTCGGCGAACAGATCAACAACATAGATGTTAATCTCTACCTACTACTGATGAGGAACACAAATGTCATTCCATAACTGAAGGCGCAAAAAGGGACTTTTAACGGTAATTTCAGAACTCGCTGAGCGAACTGCGTCTAAGCAAGTCGATACTCGTAACCATCCACTGAAGCGTATTCGTACTTGCTGGTGGAGAAATCCCCAGCAAAGTGCACTCGTCCAGTGATTTAGGGTTTTAAATGTCATCCAAAGCGGCATAAAAAGCACTAAGCCGTAGCACCCTTTCAGTGCTTAGCTGCCATGGCACACGAAGGAGACGCGAGGGCTGGGACACTGCCAGACCGTCCAGGCCTAGACAGGGGAAGTCGAGAGGCAGAGGTCGGGTTCGAACCACGGACCTTCCGGTCAGTGAACTGGCACTCTAACCATTCGGGCCTTCTCGGGGCATAGGTTGATGATGAAGCAGATGGGTTGTCTAAACATGGCTCAAAACGACCCAGAAACAGTGGAAGAACGGCTCTAGGAATGAAAACTCTTCGTGGGGGATTCCACCGACGTTAGGGGTCTCCAATTCGTGCTCGAAGGTCTACTTATGGGGTTTTTAATACAGGAGAATCATCGGAGCACTCCTCTACGGTTTTTAATGTTCCTGAAATGAATGTAGTGCCTGAGCAAGTAAACTTCACCCCGTACACGAACCCGAGCAACAGCTGTATGGCGACGCCGAAATCTGGTGGTGGCATTCATTCATACTTTTTCAGCAGCAGTCTGGTCGCTCTAATTTTGGACACAAGACGTGTAGTCTGGCGAATTCAGACATTGTAGCGAGCTCCACAGGACAGACTCTCGGATGGTGTAAGATCTGTCTCTACTCCTCGCGTCATGATATGGCAACGGAGGATTGACTCACACCTGTTTCACCCCAGCGTGGGCGTAGGGTCTGGAAATTCAGTCTAACTAACGATCATTACAAGCGTAGGCCTGTGACGGTCACTTACAAAACCATGCGTCACAAACAATCTAACAATTCCTGTCCTAATTGCAACCTCAACCGACAACAGGTATACTAAAATTCCCCATCCATTTTTGTTTACGCGGCTACCATCATGCGCCAGGCTCCACGACCTTCAACCACATCAGGTCAAGTTGTATTCATGTTCGTGCGATTATCAAACCAAGAATGGACACCCCTCTCTTCACATTGCACACTATAGACAGCCATGCAACTTAGTCCACCACACGCACGCACGCACGCACGCCACAGACAAATACGAACCATTGTAGCAGCTATACTCATGAGAAGACACGTCCCACGTTCGGAATCTTACTCAGGAACTCTCAACGGTTGTCCTCAAACAATACGCCACTTTTTAGCGTATTCAACTTTCACATTGTATCTACTTTAATCGAGTGCACCTAACTATCGTATTCATTATCATTCTGGTAAAACAGGCATTCGTTAATGCTTGTTACCTGCTAATAATCAATCTAACTAGTTGACTAAGTTTACACCAGAGCATTAACAGTGCACGCCAGCACCTGCGCTACCGATATTATTCCCCTCATCTCGACAGGCTGAATAAGCAATTCACGCTCAGTAGGACCTTTCTGTCATTGCTGCATGACATGGATAAGGTACCGATATAAGAAAACTTTTGAGATCGTACATCTTTCTACTGAAAAAACCCGCTATACAAATCCTCGCATTCTGATCAGTTCCATGGGAGTGATCTAGATTTATCATATTAGTGGTGCCAAACAGGCAAACGTTTTTGGAGGAAATTTGTTGATTTTTCGGGTCAGATCCAAAGTCCATCGATGTCTTACAATCAGAGCAAGAATACTTTAGACGTCTGATCAGAGTGGGACATTTCCTCAGTCTTCTGGACACTACCAACGACAGACAACGTGAATCGATCTCTTCAGACATGAGAACTAACCCTGGCAGTGATACAGTTACTAGTCTCAAGGGTTGCGTGTGGATGACTTAAGCACGCATTAAAGTCTTCCAAACAGTTTGTAAGCTCTTGATCGGGTCGAAGAGGCATCAGATGTTAGTAGACGTCATCTTGATAAATGGGTGTTCCGTATCAACTTCTGCTTGGCTAAACTTTGCTCGCCTCCCAAAATATTTGACCACATATCACTACTCATGATACTAATGAAAGCTCTTGTCATCCCAACTTTTTGCTCACAGTTCTCTGGGCGAACCAGGTAGGCCCAGTCCCCAATTTGCTCTTACGGTTTTTTCCCTGATGTTCTGGTCAAGCCCGTTGCACAGCCAAACTACTTTTACTTTGTGAGTAGTTCAAATGATTAGCGAAAACGCTCGTAATGACATGAAAAATGGTGTCACATAAATGCTCACCTCAGCATTTGTTGTTGGTTCCAGATCATATGAAGAACTTGCTTCATGTTTTTGTTGGAATATCATGTAGCCACAGACACCTTGATTTCTACATAGCGCAAAGTAAATGACAGCTTCAATCCCATTGGTTGGTTTCAAGTCTGTGAGCGTTTCTTCCGTGGCTCTGAGTTCGCGTAGGCGTTTCACAAAATCCGATTGCATGGAAGGAACATACTGACAGAATAAACTTCCCCAAAATGCTCAAAATCTACCTACCTGTCCATATGTTTCAGCAGCAATCAGGTCAATTTCTTTTGAGAGCCCATCGGGCGGTTCCGACAACTTTTGTAGCAGAAATTGTCGCTAAAGCGTTACATGCTCAATATCGGGTACAAAAGACTTACCGATTTCTCGTCAATCTCTTCGAAACCGTGAATGAGTCCATCAAATCTCAATCCCGAGCATGTACGAACTGGTAAAACGGGATCTTCGCATCTTGTGACGACTGTGTTTGATGGATTCTCTGACATTTTATACGTGCTGAAAAGTAATAAGTCCGGAGGTTTCAACTGGATAGAGCTGCTTTCGAGAAATAGACTCATTTGCAAATAAATTTGGTTTTCACTGGAGACTCAACTGAATCTCTCGTTTATGATATTCTACAACTGAATGCGATGCACACAAGCCGCCTCATGATTCAGTTGGCACGATATTCGAGATATCGCAGCATATTTTCACAAAGTACAACATAAGGTTGACGGAAACTCGGGGACTGCGTCAACCTGAGGAGCCCCAAGAAGAGCAAAACCGGTAGTGGGCTATCGAAGAGTTTTCAGCAACCTTGCGAGTAGTTTCATTTAGGAGAAAGCTGTTGTTATCTGGTGCTTTTCTTTTCCTGTTTCTCGTACTGTAGTAGCATTTGGAGTTTCCACAAGTTCACCGTGGGAATAAAAACACACGGTTACGGGAAATTTCTCATCACCTGGATGGTTGGCAAACTAATTTCCCTCACAAAAGATGTTGCCAACCACAAACGTGCAAATCGCGTCATCCTGCGCCGCTTTTTCCTGATTGATGTATCCTCAGGAACGCATAACCCCCCGCAGAAGCGCTGGAAACCATGAATGCGGAATAGGGACTTTTCTTCAAAGTGGATGCCCTAATGAGGATCACCCGACTTAATGACTTCAGACCGACCGTGTTTGCATTCATTCATTCATTACACTCGTTCGCAAATGCTGGGGTAATCATCATAGCCTAGATTCCGCCCTCCGGTCATAAATGCTGTGTTAATTGGAAAATACGTAACGTTGAAGACAGATTCCTTCAAACCTCAACAGTGAAAAGCCAAGAGTCAGGAACGATCCGCTGAAAGAGGCCCATAATTCGTTCCCCTTTCAATCCTACTGCAATACAAACTATTGGGTGCACCTCCGAAATGATTTATCCTTAAGAAACCCCATCATTTTTTACCCGACTCCTCCCCCTTTAGGAGGACTGGGATGACAAACGTTCGTCGCTTTTGTTATGATCAGTTGTATTCTTCTACCCTTGTTTCTTGGTGGGATGAACTTTCTTCAGAAACATCACAAACGAGCGATTCAGCTGGGTTCCATGTGAGTCTCTCGCAAAACCAAGTCCAATTGCAAATGAGTGTATTCCACTTTCTTCTGACAAATTATGACACATTCTCCTTTGGTGAAAACCGCTCATTTACAAGTGGACGTGATGCTTAAAGAAGGGCAAATGGATCCCAGATGAACCTCAGTTTTATGATATTCCACAACTGGAAGTGTCCTACAGAAGCTTCCTCACGTTTCAAGTGACACCAAAGTGGAACTCTCAACAAACAACGTAGCCATAAGCTGTTCCACTGAATACTACCGGTCCAGCCCTTTCGGCATCATCAGATAGACGTAGTCCGTGAGTTTTCATCAGCCCAATGGCGAAACGCCCTCATTTTCAACAAGAAACCCTGATGAGCCCCAAGAAGGGAGTTTTCAGCGACCATATGAGTAGTGCGTGTCACAAAAAAATTATACACTCTAGTTTCAACCACAACCCTCGGAGTGCTATGCCACGGGGTTTGGATGGATACATGATAATTGCTTTGGGAAAATACATGATATCGATTTCTTCATCTGGGGCGCATCAAGGACAGTGCACTGATTCAAGAAGGACTTTGGTGCATGTCCAATGCGCCTTCGAAACCAGGATAAGAGGCCTGAAGGACGCCTGTACCCGGACCCCAAAACTCCGATAGCTGTGATAAAATAACGCTTCTAAAAACCTTTTCTGAACAAGTTTCTTTGTAAGGTTCACGTTTCCTTGTTAAGAGGAAAGTGACCCGTTGAAATTGCCGCTCACAATAGCGCAGCGAAGCAGTTTAAAAGGAAACCAGCGCCAACCAAGATATTTCCTTTTGAATAGAAGTAACCGGCAGAACTGCATGGGTAAAGACAATCCTAATGTAGGTCATTATCGGCTGATTCAAGCCCCCTTTACTCGAGGATTTGCGTCTCTTTTGGGCATCTCATTAGAAATGACGGAAGTTGTACTGCCGTGGATGAAAAAGATCCGAGTAATATAAATGGAAACTCAAAACTATTTTTAACAGGTCATCATTAATACTGTCAGCTGTTATAACCGCGTACTTGTCGTACAGTGGTTGTAGCTGCCACACATTCGTTCACCGATGATTTGGGGAGGTGGGGTAGGTAGCTGCGCACTGGAGGCGAGAGCTGATAAATTAGTGCGTAAATACGGCACTGTCAGTGGACTGTTAAGCTGGAAGATTGGGAAGGGAGCTTTGCTTTGAAGGTAGAAGCTTGGATGTATGAGCATCATTGAGGGCGTGACTGGGCCACGTCTGACAATGTCTCCAACCATTGATGTGGCCCGTCTCGGGGTCCCCATCCAGGAAGACGGCAATGACCAGCGCAGCTGAGTTTGCTGGTATAATGGCTTTTATACTTCGCTACCAAGTCATCGTTTGACCTCCTTTGGCTCACTTCCACCCTTCACGTGGTTGTATGAAAAGAACCCTTTGAGGAAGTCGGTCAACTGACACACGCAGCACGTGACCAAGCCAGTGGAACCTATGCAGGGCAATCAGTTTATCGGGGTTAAGTTATTTTTCCGAATACCATTCGACGAACTTCAGCATTACTGATCCGTTGTTCCCACCAAATTCGGGCAATGCTCCGAAGACCTCGATGGTCAAACACTGAAAGTCCATTGATATTCTCAGCGCGCAGTGGCCAGGTTTCTGATCCATATAGTAATATGGTGCGCACCACAGCATTGTAAACTCGGCCCTCGACAGAGCGGCTGATGTCACGCCTGCGCCACAGGTGACGCAGGTTCACAGAAGCTGCTCCTCCGGGGTAGCCAAATCATTTGGCTTAACAGTTTCTGGGCCCGGAATCTGGACAGGTTTGAGCTGATGAGCAGTGGGTCACTTATCGTTGATTTAACCCTTTTATTGCCTCGTAAGTGTAGTCCCATCGGTGAAACACCCCGGAGTACTTATATGATAGCTTGCTTTGGGGTATCTTTCACCCAGTAGGCGGATCTTCTCAAGAGGACGCGGCTTCGTTTGCGCTGTGAGGATCTGGTATCCATCAGGGATATCATCTTTTCATGTTCTGCTCTCCATCGCAACTGCACAGGTAATGCGAACCTCATGGCTTCATCTACGTTGTCTTTGTTTGTAAACGTTCGACATTTTGAACACCTCAACATGGAAAGCATCAAACTTAGTTGGGATATGATCACTCCACGCGGGTAGCCATCAAAATTAAAGCACTCTGATGTGCCACAATCGTGCTTCGCGCTTTCAATTTGATTTGTGCTCAGTCGCTTGTAACAAGACTGCCCGACCCAGAGAACGGCTCAATGACCACCAGGAGAGCACTTTTTGTACAAAATCGTTGCAAAAATCACTCACAAGAAGCAAGGGCATGTTCCAAAACACAGCAAACAGTATTCTATGGGTTCACTGCTTACTATCACCCTCTCCCTGTAAAGTAACAGCTGTTTTGTCATTCCTCGCCCATCAATGTGATGAGTGCTTGAGACTATGGTGTCCGTCAGCAGTGGATCAAAACAAAGCTTGAAACGCTATTGCGATTCCATCCATAATGGCGATTCTTCATGTACCAGCGCAGCCAATGTTTGTTCCACTCCTGCGTTCCGTTTTGTGAATAATCTCGATGATATAACCACCTGCTGCGGAGAGCAGCCTGTTTAACGGCTTAGTTTCTGAACGTTAGGATGTCACCAGCACTTTCACCTGAGAAACAGCCTTCTCCAGGTTGCACTTTTGTAAATTTTCCGGAATTGATCCAAGGTCTTCATCCAAGTTTTCTTTTGCACCTTTGTATCTTCCCAAGTCTTTCGCATTTTTATGGCCATATTGCATTTTTCAAGGCTTACTTTGCATGATTTTGTCCCCTGATGGCTTCTTATTCTGCAGTTTGCTGTTTTCTAAGCAAGTACCTTGGAATTTAGCGAATATACACTTATTTGAAAACTAATTTGGTTTTGCGAGAGACTCACCGGGAACCCAGCTGAATCTCTCTTTTGTGATGTTTCCAGGCAACTGAATGTGCTGCACCAGGCTATCCCATTGTTCCGTCGCTACGATATCCGACATATCGTGCATATTCGCTAATTTCGTGCAATTTGGTTTCAAGTAGAACATAAGGTTGACGGAAGCCCGGGGATTGCGAGTACCTGATGAGCCCCAAAAAGGGCGAAACCGGTCGTGGGTTAACGAATTGCTGAGTAGCACTCGCGGCTTTGCAAACCAGTCACTTTGCTACCCTAGAACATACACTGTTAGGGCTAATCCATTTCCCCGAACTTTTCATCCTTGTTTCAACACAGAGTCTTCAGACTTCCACTAGAACTTATTCAGTCTGGAAAAAGCTTCGTTGCACCAGATATTCTCATTTGCACACAAATTCGGTTTTGACAGAGGAATACACCGAATCTAGTTGAATCTGTCGTACATGACGGCCAGCTTCAACTGAATGTGCTGCATTAGGTCTCGATTTACTTGGAGTTGTGGAGCGTTTGAAGGATCGCAACACATTGTTTTCCATATGTAACACATTACTTATAAGATTGCTGAAAACTCCTCGTCAGTCCGAGGCTCATCAGATAGGGGCGGTCCCCGAGTTTCTGCCAACCCAAATTGCATTAATTGAGTTGATGCCTCCATGGGAACTACATTGACACACAAATGAATGTCTTTGTGGAAGGCAGTTCAATTTGGGTTCCAGTAAAGCATCAGGTTGACTGTGCCTACCTGATGAGCTCCAAGAAGGGTGAAACCGGTCGTGGGCTTCCAAAGCGTTTTCAGCAACCTTTTGAATATTCTCCTCCATGAAAACTTAGTTACATATTTTTTACCCCGGAATGCACTATTTGAGGATTATG